GCGGCGAGGCCGCGGGGCAGCGCAGGGGAGCGCGGGGCGGCGGGCGCGCGGGGGCGGCGGGCGCGGCGCCGCCCCTCCGGGCCGGGGCCGCCCGCTGATCATGTGGTGCTGCGGGAGGAAGTGCCGCTTGTTTTCTTTCCTGCGGGCGCCGGGCTCCGGGCGGGGCGCGCGGCTCCGAGACCCCCCGGGGGCGGCGCGGGCCGCGAGCGCAGATGAGGCGCCCCCGGCCCCGCCGCGGTGTTCCGGGTCCGATGGCGGCTCCGCCGTGGGACCCGCTCCGCAACGACTCGCTGCCGCCCACGCTGACCCCGGCTGTGCCGCCCTACGTGAAGCTCGGCCTCACCGTCGTCTACACCGCGTTCTACTCGCTGCTCTTCGTGTTCATCTACGCGCAGCTCTGGCTGGTGCTGCGCTACGGCCACAAGCGGCTGAGCTACCAGAGCGTCTTCCTCTTCCTCTGCCTCCTCTGGGCCTCCCTGCGGACCGTCCTCTTCTCCTTCTACTTCAGGGACTTCGTGGCGGCCAACGCGCTCGGCCCCTTCGTTTTCTGGCTGCTCTACTGCTTCCCCGTGTGCCTGCAGTTCTTCACACTCACGCTCATGAACCTCTACTTCACGCAGGTGAGCGGGCCGCGCGGCGGGGGGCGCTCACCTGACGGGGAGGGCGCTCCCCGGGCGGGGCGGGCGCCCACCTGTGGGGAGGACGCTCACCTGGGGGGGAGGGCGCTCACCGGGCGGGATGCTCACCTGGCGGGGAGGGCGCTCACCTGGGAGAGCTCCCCCGCCCCGCGCGCTGCGCCAGCTGCAGGGCCTATGGCTGCCGGGGGCGGTCGCGGAGCCCAGAGGGTGGGCGGAAGGCACTGGCTCTGCGGTCTCCTGAGCCCTGTCCTACCTGAAGGCTGTTCTCCCCCGACCCGCCCATTTCCAAATGAGGCGACAGAGAGAGAGAAAGTGAGGGCCTGCCCAGGTAGCCACCGGTGGGTTTTGGGCCCGCCATGTCCGTGCACAGGGGCCGCTTCCCGCCACATTAGAACGCGGCCTGCCCGGAGCTGTGCCCACCAGGGAGGCTCGACCTCTAGACTGACTCCTCCGTCCGGTCATCCCAGAGCACCTGACCTGAGCCTAAAAGGCCATGTGCACGCTGGCCTCCAGATTGGGGTCAGACGCTGATATTTTTGAGTAATGGGAGGAGGGGACTGCCCCATTTGGAATGAGATGTTTTTGATCTCCAGCTTCGAGCCCTGCTGAATGAACTAGAGCTTGGGACTTCATTTCTCAGGGCTGCTGAACAGTCTGGGGGTGACACCCAGCTCCCCAGCTGCTTCCAGGGGAGGTCAAGGCTTGCTGTCTGAGCTGGATGGAGAGGCCCCAAGAAAAAACCATAAAGTTTACCGGGGCTCTTTTATGGGCACAGAGGAGCTAGTTTATGAGGCCTATTTTTAATAAGCTAATGGGAGAACATGCGAATTGACTGGGCTGCTGTGACTTAAGGAAAGGACAGTGATTGTAAAGTGCTTTGTAAATACCATGTCAGGTATTGCAAAAAGGTTTAATTACACAACGCCCTCATCATCATCTCTGATTCTCATTAGCCCTGAAATGTCCATTTTCACAAGGACTCTGCAGGTGTCATCTGGTGAGGGTAATTGAAGAGCTCTCTCACCGACAGACACAGGCAGGCATTCTCCTTTTTTAACAGTGTCCCTGTTCTCTAAAGAAAACGTCTTTCAAAAAAAGAAAGGCAAGAAAAAATAGAGAAGGATTGCCGTACTGTGGGAGCCCCAGAGACAATCGGCAGGAAACAGGTCTGGCTCCAGAATAGCTGGGTACTAGTTAGTAGCCATGATAGTCTTATAGAACAGCTCTGCACTCACAGCCTTCTGATAAGTCTGGTGTAGCCGCATATTTTTCCAGTGCACGAGTCATAGGTATTACCCGTCCAAAAATTACCTTGGAGCCCAAAAGCTGGTTACTCAGGCAGTCCTCAGCTCTACTGCTGACACTTTAGCTTTTTAATTGGATCCAAAGGGGTAGTTCCAGCAAGATACAAAGGTCAGGTAGGCTGACATTACTTTAAGAACTGTGACTGTGATCGTGTTTTGTATTTAGGTATTTGTGTTCCTTTCTAAGAGAAAAAAAAAAAGGAAAACGCAGGCCAGGGCCATGGCTCTGTGCTAATCACATGCAAATTCTGCACTAGCTGGCTTAGGGGCAGGGCCGCACATTTTCTGCACCATCTGCTGGTTGGCAAGTAAATGCTGAGCGAAGAAAAGAGTGACCAGGCAGACAGAGCCACTCCAGCCAAGAGGCCTCAAGCCCTGGCCCGGGCTTCTTTTTATCTTCCACCTCTTGTTGCTTTTCATATCTCCGGGGTGGCTGGCAGGAAAAGGGGGTACCTAAGTGCTGGTCTTTGAGGCTCTGTAGAGCAAAGCCATCCTCTGGCTTCCTGACAAATACTCGGATATTTCTGGGGAGCTAGAAAGGGGGTCACCCTTCCTTTGACTCTCAGCTCTGACGTCTCTCCCTACCTCTGCCTCCGCGTGCCCTCTCTTCGACAAGGTTCTCAACCACTGGAATAGCCCAGGGAGCTTTTAAGAATTACCGCTTCCCTGGGGCCCATCTCAGAACAAGTCCATCAGATCTGGGAGGGAGGGGGTGAGCAGCAGATAATGGAAAAGTCCAACTGGGTGCCAGGCTCCGTTCGAACTGGTTTGGCCTCTTTGCAAGGGCCCTCTGATGGTAGTGATGAGACGGTCCCCATGTTGTGGATGGTCAGGTTCAGTGGCTCAAGGTTACCTGGTCAGGGCATGGAAGCGCTGGGAGGTCCCCCACATCTCTGGCATCTGAGTAATGGTCCGTGCTTTGTGGTACAGTGTTAGAGGGGAAACATACTCTACCATAGTTGCAGCCCCTGTTTGCTGGGAGCCAAACCCCTGGCTAGGGGGTACGAACCTTATACCCCACCCAGTTAAGTGATAACTCAGGGGACCTAGGTGGTGTATATTTAAGCTGTGGGAGGCTTCCGTGGGACCCGAGCCCTCAGGAGTCGGGTTTGTGGCAGATGGGGAGGTCGGTGGGAAGGAGAGGGCCGTGGCAGAGGGGCACCACGGCAGAAGTTTGGGGAAGAGCTAGAAGGTGCTCTTGGAGCTGGAGGGAGTCTCATCTGTCATTGTCCTGTGCTCTGTACCTGGCCCAGCACCTGGGGCTGGCTTAGGCGTCTGTGTGGAGCCTCCCTGATAACTGGGGAGAAGGTGTTACCATATTCCCTCTGGGGGGCTGGGTGGTCAGGAGCTGGCCCATCGTGCCCTGCAGCGTCTGAGGCACCTCCTCTTGCCCTGGCCGCTGGAGGGCCATGGTCCCTTCTGTCCAGGGCTCGAAGTGCAGGGGAAGGGTGTGTCCTGAGTGCTTAGCCTCACCCCCCATCTTTGGAATCTGGCTCTTCTGGGGCTGGCCCGAGGAGGTGCAGGGTGGTTTTACGGGACGCTCTGCCTGTTCACTGCTGGCTTTGATCCACCTTGGGCTCTGGGGGTGACCCTGTCACGGGGCTGCGGCCACATGGCAGACTCTGTCTTATCCTGGCTCCCTCTGCCTGTCCGCCTTCCACCCAGTCCCTTCTGCAGGTGCGGCCACACAGGTCAGGGGCTGGTGCCCACCCTTGGTCTCCTCCCAGGTCCCCATCTGCCCTCTATCCTTCTCTGCCACCTACAGAAATCCCAGGTGGAGGTAGATACCCGCCCCCCCGCCGCCCCGCCAAAGTCCTGGTGTCCTTAGACCTCCACGGCACAGGTGGGCCTCTGCTGGGACTCTCCAGAATCCGCTTGTTGTCATGTCTACACCCCTTGGGTCTGAGCCTTCCCATCTCAGCACATCACTGTCCATGGAGTGAGGTGATGAGGTTCCTGCTTCCTAACCCCCCTGAGCAGTTCCTCTGGGGTTTTCTCCTCAGTCACCCGGGATGAGGGTTGCATCTCCTAGCATGAGCACTGCTCTCCTGCTGGGGCTGATGACTCCTTTTTACGCTCTCCAGCTCCTGTGACAGGCTAGAACGTGGGGAGGAGGCTGGTGGTAGGACTGGTTCTGCTGACTCTTAGCAGGCTCTGTGTGAGGTGTGTGACTGGCCCCAAACGTCTGGGGCTGTCTTTGGAACATGGGGTGTTGAGTACCTGTCGTATCTGGCTCTGGTCCACCAGTACCAGTCCTGGGGACAGCCAAACTCCCACTCAGATCTTTTCTTCTTCTTCTTCTTCTTTTTTTAATAAGATTTTATTTGTCAGAGAGACAGAGCATGCATACAAGCAGGGGGAGCCGCAGGCAGAGGGACAGGGAGAAGCAGGCACCCTGCTGAACAAGGAACCCGCCACGCAGGACGGGATCACAGGACCCTGGATCATGACCTGAGCTGAAGGCAGAGGCTTCACCGACTGAGCTGCCCAGGCGTCCCTCCCACTCAGCTCTTTGCTGCACCAGGAAGTGGTGGGGCCGAGGCTTGAACGGAGGTACGTCCTCCGGAGCCTGCTCTTCTGGCACCGTTTGCCTCAGACAGAGGTTTGGAGCAGAGCAGGACCCCGAGAGCGCACGGGAGTCTCTTCGCTTGGGCTGTTGGGGTGCCCTCCACACCAGGCTGTGGGGTTGAGGCCCAGTAGAGAGGCTACCAGCTTCTGCGCCCAGGCAGCCCCTGGGCCAGCAGGTCTGTCTATAGAGCTCCTGGTGTGGCCATGGGCTCAGCCGTCCCTTCCAGCTGTTTTCCCTTGGAATCACGGTTCTGGACCTCAGACTCTTAGGGATCCGAGTTTGGTGGAGTGGAGTGGGCTCAAGGTCCCACTGGTTCCGCTCTGTTTTGAGCCCAGTGACAAATTCCTGCCACGACTGAAGGGTATTTTGAGGAAGGAAAAGGAGAAATGAACTCTGGGGGCGACATGGGGTGTGGTTAATGGATGCTGACGCAGAAGCCGGGATGACAGTGCATCTCGAGGGCGGCCGGGAAGCTGCTACAGGGCCGTTGGGGGTGGGGAACTGTGGCTCATGGGGGGTGTTGGAGCATATCATGGGAGTCTGGGGTCCTGGTGTGCCGGCAAAGGCCTATAAATGAGGGGGCAGCATTGCGCATGGAAGGAGGGGGGACCGTGTGGGCAGGACCGAGTTCGATTCCCGGCTTCACCCCTAGTGTAGCTCCCGTGGCTGGTTATTGACATTCCTCATCAGGAAAGCAGCGACCCCGGGGGTGCATCCCCCTGGTGGGAGCTGCTTTAAGGAGAACCTGTCTGTGTCGTACCCTCTGCACCTCAGTTAAGTGCCCTTTCTGCATCTAACAAGTGATTCTGGCTCTTGCCCAGATACCAAACCACGGTCTTGAAGGTCTGACCCCCGGGGCCGGCTCTGCCTTTTATCCCCCCACCGTGTCATCCAAATGACTTGTGGTGCCATGCCGCAACATTTGTGTTTATAAAGTGGCAGGGTCACTTGGCTCTCCCTTCGCGGGAGTGTGGAAGGAAACAGCTCACCGCTGCAGCTCCTGGAGCCGAGAGCTGGGGGAGGGGGTCCGGCAGCCCAGCCCTTCCTCTTCCAGATGAACCGACAGAGGCCTGGAGGCTTCTAGGAACTTGTCCAAGGTCACCAGCCTG